ACCAAGGTTTGATCCAAACAATCCTATGTGTGTGATAGAGAAATATGTTTGAGTGAACATCAATATATAATGATCTATGTGGCCCCAGAAATTATTTCCAGCACACCACAAAACTTTGATATGGGTGCAAGAAGAGAAGGCATGAAATGTACAACAGGCTTTAAGATAGAAAACAAAATAAAGACATCACATAATATAGAATCAATATTTAAATATTCCAACTAGTTCCATGTACAAAGAAGCTTCACGTGTTCATGAAAACTGGAATTAAAAGACAATGGGATTATTCCACTAACCATTTGAAGCCCCCTTGTTTTATAGAATGTCCAGAGTACAGTATCATGAATATTGAAAAGGAAGTAGTTCTTAATATATTAATGTCAAATGATTGCTAAGATAGATGTGAAAAAGCAAGATGTAAAAAAGTGCTTATGGAATGCCACCTTCTGGATAAAGATAAAGGCCTACGTATATTGTAGAAACTATCTCTGGGAGAATACGTAGACTTCAGAACAAAGAAAATTAGCAGGAACTGACAGGTATATCACATAATGATCAGTGTGATATCAACCGGTGAGTAAAACATAGCCATCCTAAATGCATAAGCACCAAAGAGAGTTGTAGAAAATGTTAAGCGAAATTGATAGAATAGACAAATCTGTATTATCATTGGTTTCAATACTCTTCTCTCAGCAACTATAGAACTAGACAGAAAACTAACAAGAATACAGAATTCAACAATGCAAACATATAATCTATATCAATAAATCATTCCACCAAACAAAAGATTATAATTTTTTCCTAAGTACCCACAAAACTTATACTAAGATAAATTATATCCTGGGCCATAAAATACACCCCCAAAGATATGAAATAATGTATATCACACAGCATGGGTTCTCTGACCACAAGGGCCTCAACCTAAAAATCAATTAATAGAACTATCATAGGAAAATTCCCCCAAATGTACAAACTAAACAGCCAATGGTTCAAAGAAGAAATCTCAGGGAAGTTAAAAAGTACACTGTACTAAATGAAAATAGAACATATCAAAATGTGTAACACTGCCCAGTTTGTAACACTAGTATCACATTAGAAGAGAGAAAAGCCTCAAACCAGGAATCTAAGCACCCACATCAGGAACCTAGAAAAAGAAGAACAAACATAAAATGAAAGTAAGACGGAAGGAAGGAAGTAATAAATACACCGGCAGATAGCAATAATATTTAACATTTTTTCATCAGAAAATTGAGTAAACAAAAAGCTGAATCTTATAGATCATAAATTGACAAATATCTAGCAAAACTAACAAGGAAAAAGAGGAAGAGAGAAATATCAGGAATAAAATAAGGGATATCACTACTGATCCTGCAAAGATAAGGAAAATAAAGCAATATTAGAGAGACTCCTATAAATAAATTTAACAATAAAAATGAAATGGATAAATTAAAAAAGAAAAATTACAACTTTCCCATTAGAAACTAGATAATTTGAATAACCCTACAATTATAAAGGAAACAACTGCTTTTGCAATTTTAATACTCCAAAAAAGAAATTTCCAGGACCAGATGATTTCACTGGAAAAGGCTATCAAACATTTAAAGAAGAATTAATACCAATTGGAAATAACCTATTCCTCTAACCCAGAAACTGAACATATTTTAGATGTCAAAGCCAGAAAAAAAATAAAAACTATATACCCCACAAATAGATTCTTAACAAAACAGTAGCAAATAGAATTCAGTAATGTATAAAAAGATTATATACCACAATGAAATAGGGCAATGGTTCTCAACCTTCCTGATGCCATGACCCTTTAATACAG